CGGTCGTTCCCCGTCGAAAGCGAAGGAAATTAATCGTTTCGTCGATGACTCGGAACGGGAGGAGAAGGGCTCGTCCGCGAGAAAAGCCGATTACCAGACGTAATCGTTCGCCCTCGATAAAGAAGTTGAACAGTCCGTTTCTTGTTTCTCTTATTTTCTTTCTCCTCTCGTTTCGTGCTCGTCACGATAACCAGCCGCGCCGTGTCGCTTCGTTTCCTTTACGATTTCTTCACCCTTCGACCGATAACGTAATTACCGAGCCGGACCTCCAACTTTCCGTCGCGCGAAACTCCAACGCGCTACCGTCTCGAGTCCTTTTACCTGTTTTTCTTCCGTTGTTCGCGATGAATTTTAATCGAACGTTAAACTCCATCGGGACTTTACGCTGTTTATCGTCGCTGGTAGATACGTATGCTAATATTATATTAATATTATAATATTATAATATTAATTAGATTTTAATTAATTCGTTTGGAAATATCGTGAAAATGTCGTCCGGAAAGATCGTCGGCGAAGAGGAATTATCCGTTGGGCGAGCGGTACACGATATTTTAGGAACGAAAAGTTTCGAAGCGTCGTGGATCAACGTCGAATACGCAGCGGCCACGCTTTCTTGCCTCTGCTTTAATGCAGTATGCCGGACGTTTAATCTTCCCGAAGTCCGGACAGATTCATCGAATCGAATCGGCTTTTCCCCGGGGAATCGCACAGAATTTATAAATCGTTATCTCGAACGTCTCGGACTTCCGAAAGATCGATCTTCGAATTCGGCTCGATTCTAGGCGTCTAACGAGTCAGGATATTTTGACGAAACGCTTGTTTGTTCTTTTCTCAGAATTCCACGAAGCTTCTGGTATGGGAAAGTAACGAGGCAGTTTCGGAAATCATCGAGGAAAGATTGCAACCGATCGTGCGTCGTTTGAAAGTACCGGTTCAGGGTGGATTCGAAGCTCGAGTCAGACTATTGATTCCACCGAACGCTGATTTGACCGGTGCCACCAAGTATCCCATGTTAATTTTCGTGTGAGTATTATTCCCGATTAATCGTTTGGCCCAATTGTGAAACGAAACCGTACGACATACGCGCCGTTATTTTATTCGCATGCAAATGCTCGCTAGCCCCATGAATGCGGTTTAATGCCCTCGAAAGCGGATACGAATTATTCGCGGTGAATGGAAAAAAGGAGGACGACTTGGGAGTGGATAGCACGTGTCAGACACAGCGTATCATTTATCAAAAAGTTTTTTACGATCGTCCGTTCCATCGAAAGTTGTCTCGCGATATTCGCTCGACGTCCCGTAAACGCGATCTCGGAATTTTAATGAATTTTATCGAAATACTAATCGACGAGAGGGTCGAATAAACGTTTCTCGTCCAACGACAGAAATTTTTTGCCAACTTTCGTTTGAACTTCCCTCGAGGGAACAGTCAAAGGGGGCAAAGTTGATCGGCAGAGCGAACAAAATCGAATGAAATTTTACAAAGTCTGAACTCGAGGAATTGTCGCGTCGGTAGACGTTGATTCTTGTTTCGAAAATTCGATTACTCGGATAGAAGTCGTTTCCGACGGATTAGATCCCGCGTAAATAGAGACAGTACGAGATCGAATAACCGAATTAAACCGTAAAAACGAGTTAGCCTTTCTTCGTCCGGAGAATAAAATTGTTTAATAATTGTTAGTCCGACTCGATAAACCCGTACGGCGAGAGAGCCGTAAGAAAGAACTCCATTATATGTATATTATAAGTAAAATTACAATCGTAGCTCTTAAATTCTAAATTCTAATTCTAAATTAAATTCTAATCGTAGCTCTTAGCTCGGAATAGTTCTCTGAAGATTTTTTAAAGCCTTCAGAGAACTATACCAATTACCAGGTCACACCACGTGGAGGTGGCTACGATAGCGACCCACCCTAACTCCAAATCCCTTCCTCCCTCCAAATGCAACCTCATTTATCAGAAGGATAAATGAGTTCTGACTCTACTTAGCTCATAGGCTCGCATATACAAGTTCTTTACCACAATCCAGTAAAGAACTTGTATCACACACACACATACATTAACTTAACACTAATCGCATGGGATCCCATACACGCAAGCTTAACTTATTCTAAACGCCGCACGGTACCTCTCATTCTAAGATTACACTCAAATAATCTATGACGAATTCAAAAAGCAAAGGGAAATAAGAAAGTTAGAAGAACTTTCTACTAAAAGAAAAGAAAGTTAGAAGAACTTTCTACTAAAAAGAA